TTAAGGAAAAATTTGAAGATATACAAAAATTAGACTTGTATATGTGTGGGAGAAGAGCACTCCAGGCAGAGGGAAGAGCCAGTGCAAAGGCCCTGAGGCAGAAGACTGCATGCTGTATTGGAGTTGCGGCAAGGGGGCCTGCATGGCTGGAGTAAGGAGGCCAGTGTGGAGCTAAGTGAGAGCGGGGGAGAGAAGCAGATGAAGAAAGGAGGAGGATTATTGGGAACAAGATCCTGGTTCATGTGTGGGTTTATCTGCTGCTGAAAGGAATTTTGTCTTTAAGTGAAAGAGAAGCCTTTTGAGAAGAGTGAGATGATCTATTTTTCATTTTTATAGAATCATTCTATCTGCTGCTTTCACCAAAGAATCACTGGATGTATTTCAGAAGCATGTCATTACAAATTGTCAATCCTTGTGATTATTTTAAATACTTTGTTTTAATATGGATATGCTGCTTTCCCTTTCTGATAATTTCTTTGTCAAATAGGGCTGACAGAAGTAGAAATGCCAAACTATAGATTTTTTTCTACATAGGTTCTTTCTGATTGTATTATGCTTTAAAGGCGGGGGAGTGGGGGCAGTAGGGTAGGAGTCTTGACAGTTGTATGTTTTCCAAGAAGTGATTAATAAATGAAGCTCTGAAAGGGGTGCTGTCTAGAGAGTACTGGAAACCACTTATTGTAGAGTTCTGCCTTTTTGTTACAATACATTTTACTTTGAGAAATGATCATTTATGCTTTTTATAGTTTAAGTTTAAAGGAGACCATCTTCCCAAGAAAAGTGGCAAACAGAATTTGTATCATCAGGCTGTGAAATCATATTTTCAGCCTTCAGTCTAATAAAGTCCTACTTACTTAATTCCTTTTTAAATGTGGAGGGGAACTAGATAGCTTTCCAGCTGTTGGTCGGATTTAATTATTGGAAGTGTATGAACACTGATGGGGCTTCCCAGGTGGCGCTTGCCTGCCAGTGCTGGAGATGTAAGAGACACAGGTTTGATCCCTGGATTGGGAAGATCCCCTGAAGGAAGGCATGGCAACCCACTGCAGCATTCTGCCTGGAAAATCCCCACGGACAGAGGAGCCTGGTGGGCTACAGTTCATAGGGTCGCAAAGAGTCAGACATAACTGAAGCCACTTAGCATGCACGCATGCATGAACACCAACAATAATAGGCATGTCTTGACTAAAATGTAATTAAATTTGCTTCCCAGGGACTAATAGTGTAGAAATTATGTGGCATCTATTAATGCTCCTTTGGGATTGACTTATTTAAAATGTGCCTACCTATATTTTCCTCCCACTCCCTTGTTCACTACTTTTAAAAGTTGACGTGTCTTCCGTAAGCATTCGGTAACTTTTCATGACACTTGCTTTTGTCCACTGTTGCAAAATTTATTTCAAAAACCTTTCTGTATGTGATGAGTTGGAATTTGACAATTGGTTGTCTGGGATTGGTCTTCTGGGCTTCGTGGAAACAACATGTAGTGATTAGGTTCGTTCCTGCCAGACAGGTCTGCCATGAATACTGTGGTTCAGTGGGTCTGGCTAGAGCCTAGCGGCAGTGTTTGACAGTCATCACTGTATAGACTGGTTAACCTTATGTACTTACACAACGTCTTGACAGTCTCGCTGTCTGGAAATTTTAGTGATAAGATGGATGCGGTCTCTGATGGGAGGGCATTTAAAGGGAATTACATAGTGGTGGAATATTCCAACCAAAAGCATACTCTCTCAGGCTGTGCAGTCAGTGGTCTTCTGACTGTATAGAATTTCTTGAGTTGTTGGTAACTATTTAAACATAATACTTAGACTTAAAATTACTATGTTTGCTTTGGTAATACTGCTTAACACCTTTCTGAACTAGCACTGCCATTATAGACTTAAGATCTTTAGGTTTTATTTCAAGACAAATTAAGGTAGGTTTCTAGTTAGAATCACATAGAACAGTGTTTCTTTTGTTTACCTTTTCTCCTCAAAATAAAATATTTTTGAAACTTGAAAGAATAACCCTCTCACTATTCGTCATAAAATGTAATTATTTGCAAAACAGTCTTATTAAACAAAAATTAGATTCCCTTTTCCTTAACCTGAGCTTTGCAAATTTTTATTATGGGTATGGCAACTATTATCCCAGATTTTCTGAGAGAAGTCTTGATTCCACAGTATTAACCAGTTTTTCACAGTGTTCTCATATTCACTGGATTGTGTATCAATTTGGGATTAAAAATACAGTGACTGATTAGGATGGAATATTACAGTATTTGTAAAACTTAAATCATTCTCTTGACTTAAATTCTGTGTCATCTAAAAGAACTTGAAGGCTTTATGGGCTGTGATATAAGATCATGGTCTTTGAGATCAAACAGTTTTGGATTTAGCCCCTGACATGACCACTCTTTTAACCTTGAACAGATAATATATACTTGTTTTGTCTGTTTCTTTCTCTGCAAAATGGTAATACTAATGAAACTTACGGAGTTGTTGGGAAGAGTGTATGAGACACAGGCATAATAAATAGTAGTTGGCATGGAATAAGCACTAATGCCTTTGGTTATGTTATGTTGAGCTTGGAACATCTCTTAAGTCAGAACAACCTTAATGAAAACATTTCAAAACATCCAGCATAGTTTAAGTGACGTTTAGAGTTATCTTTCCTCAAGGCAATATAAACAAACATGCAAGCTGTAAAAATATGAAGTGCTGGACTTCCCTGGTGGTCCAGTGGTTAAGAATCTGCCTTGCACTGCAGGGGACATGGGTTTGATCCCTTGTCCGGAAGCTTCCACATGCCATGGAGCAGCTAAGCCTGTGTACCACGACTACTGCATCTGTGCTCTAGGGCCACGTTCTGCAGCAAGGGAAGCCACCACAGTGAGAGGCCTGCGCACCCAACCAAAGAGGGTAGCCCTCGCTCGCTGCAGCCAGAGAAAGCCCATGCACAGCAACCAAGACCCAATGTAGCCACAAATACAGTAAATAAATAATGAAAAACCTTTAAAATATATATATATGTGTGAAGTGCTAAGATCTCACTTAAGGTTACATCTATGCTAAGTTCTGTTGCTCTTTATGAAATTGTGAACTGACCATAATAGCAAACAGTGAAATTAAGAAACAGAAAAAAGAAAATTAATTCTTGTTTGAGGAAAGAAAGTAATAAATATAGTGGGGTGTGTGTGTGTGTGTAAAGACAGGTCATACACATATATAGCTATATAAGACATTAATAGTATATTTAAATTGCTGGCTTGGTTTCTTTTCATCCAAATTTATCAAAAATAAAAATGGAATTCACTGGCAATCCAGTGGTTAGGAATCCACATTTTCATTACCAAGGCCCTAGGTTCAATCCTTGGCTGGGGAACTAAGATCCTGTAAGCCATGTGGTGGCCTAAAACAAACAAAAATAATATATTTTAAAAAACAGTAATTGAAGAGAAATCAACCTCTTTTTTAATAGCTCAGCTGATATACATTCTGCCTCAGGAATGGATAATGATTCTCATAGTAGATCAAACCTAACCGAATTTTTAAAAATTCCACTTGTTTAGTACTGACTGTGATTTTTATGTTCCCATAGCAGTGTGATACAGTAATGAGTGGGTAGGGCATTGCATCGAGAATATCTGTGGTAAACCTGTTGGACTTGAATGGGATCATTCCCTAATCCTGTGATGTGAGGACAGGATGAAAAATACCCGGCGCTGCACCTGTAAGGAGAAGTTCTAGAATGCCTGACTTAACTTGTAGATAAAATATTTCATTAAAAGTAAGTGCAGGAATATTGTCAGTGGCCAGCATCCTTTTTCCAGTCATTCCTAAAAAAAGGAGAGTTATAATTTGAAAATTTAAAGATACTTTTATTTTTTTTTAACTAAAGTATAGTTGATTTACATTGTTGTGTTAGTTTCTGGTATACAGCAAAGTGATTCAGATATATATAGTAGTTTGTATCTGCTAATCCCCAAACTCCTAATTTATCCCTCCCCCCTGCCTTTGGTAATCATAAGTTTGTTTTCCATGTCTGTGAGTCTGTTTCTGTTTTGTAAATAAGTTTATTTGAAGATACTCCTATTTTAGACCGTGCAATATGAGGTGGAAAATGTAACAGTGGATTTAAAAATATGGCCATGCATTTAGTTATAGTGTACATTTCTCATGCAGTAATACTGTTTTTAAGAAAATGATGGAAACACGTATGTCATTCTAATCTCCATGTTTTCTTTTTTTCTTTAATAGTTATTTTTATTTTTGGTTGCACTGGGTCTTTGTTGCTGCATTAGGGCTTTCTCTACTTGTGAGCAGGTGCTGTTCTTCATTGTGATACACAAGCTTCTCGTAGTGGCTTCCCTTGCTGTGGAGCACAGGCTCTAGGCACGCAGGCTCCGGTAGTTACGGCTCACAGGCTTTAGTTGCCCATAGTATGTGGGATCTTCCTGGGCCTAGGATCCAACCCACGTCTCCTGCATTGGCAGGCAGATTTTTATCCCTCTACCACCACAGAAAGTGTGAAAATGTTAGTCATTCAGTCGTGTCTGACTCTTTGTGACCCTGTGGACAGTAGCCTGCCAGGCTCCTCTGTCCGTGGTATTCTCCAGACAAGAATACTGGAGTAGGTTGCCATGCCCTTCTCCAGGGGATCTTCCCAACCCAGGAATCGAACCCAGGTCTCCTGCATTGCAGGCAGATTCTTTATCAACTGAGCCACCAGAGAAGCCCCCACCACCACGGAAGTCCCTGCCTTTTTTTTTTTTCTTCTCTTTCCTTTAGAGAACCTAGGAAAAGATGGCAAGTTGGAACAAGTATAAAAATTTTTAGAAAAATAGACGACAGGCAGTAAAGTTAGGATAGTGATGTTGAAAATGAGCCCCCTATCAGTAGTTACTAAGCTTTTAGCTGTCACTGTGGTACTTATTGAGTGGACTTCTGACAGTCTTAGGAAGATCAGAGCTTTCTTAGGGTTCTGGATGATTGTGTTAACTCTCCATTAATTTTTAGGTACCTGGTGACCCATCTCATGGGGGCAGATCTGAACAACATTGTGAAATGCCAGAAGCTTACAGATGACCACGTTCAGTTCCTTATCTACCAGATTCTCAGAGGTCTCAAGGTACAGACTAACGATTTTGAGAAATGAATTCTCCCTCTCTCCCTTCTGTTTAGGGCTTAAGGGAAAACAAACAAAACTTTTCTTATGGAAGATTTCAAATACGACAATCACAAGTACAATCATAGTATAATGAACCCCTGTGTTTACTCAGCAACCACAATTACCAACATACAGCTATCTTGTTCCTTTCGTGTTCCCCTAAACCCTGGATTATTTTAAGGCAAGTCTAGACCTCATATCATTCCACCCCCTTGATACTTCTATATAGGCATGTCTGAGAGTTAAGGACTCTTCATTATTACATCTAAATATTAATAATAATTTCTCAATGTAATCTGATATCTGTTGAGTGTCATGTTGAAACTTTGAAAATATCCTCAAAGGGGTTAATTTGGGGGTTAAAAGGGGGGGAAATATCCTCAAAGGGGATATCTGCCCCTGTGGAAAGGGCAGATAAACAATGTTTTCAAATTAAACCACCTTTAATATTTAGCAGCTTTGAGTCCTTATTATGCTCTAGAGCACCCACTAGAAAGTAGGTTAAAAGCTCTATTTCACTCATACTCCAGCTCTGTGAATAGAGTTAATGGTATAGAAATCATAGTTATAATAAGATTATAGACTACTGATAATTATGTGTTCTGATTTCTAATCCTGCTCTTAATCCTAACATTTCTTATTGAATCATAAAAAAGTAAAAATGTACTTCAGACATGTCATATAACATGATAGGAGATTGGAGATAACTTTTTCTTTCACTGATTATTTTTTGTATGTGTGTGTGCTTTTTCACAGTATATACATTCAGCCGACATAATTCACAGGGTAGGTATTGTATTTTGATTACATAATTGGGATGGTGGGTGGGGAGGTTAGCAAGATCGTAGTCTAAGCATTTTAGCCATTGAAATATTGACTGATTGCAGCTTTACACTAGGTTTAAACTAATTAAAGAATGAGGATGTATAGGTTTTTTATTTTGTTTTGTTTACCTACTTAAGGCTAATTAGAACTAGGTAGTGACTCTAGAATGGAAATTGTTTATAGCTGGATCAAGTCTTTTCTGTTTAGCTCTTCATCATTACCTTTAGGGAGAGAATTTACCAAGCATCATGAAGTTGATCCTGTCCTCTCTTGCTTCCTAGGACCTAAAACCTAGTAATTTAGCTGTGAATGAAGACTGTGAGCTGAAGGTAGGATGAAGTGACATTAGTAATTGTTTGTTTCACTTTGTAATTATATGTTTGACTAACCAGGCAAATTTATAAAGGGAATGAGTTTATAAAGCCATGACTTTTTATCTGGAAATTCATATTGTATTGTCCTTAGGAATATCATTAGACTTTGAAATTTAAACTGGAAATTTAGTAAGCTTTAGTTTGAGTGATATTGAAGGTAGTATCAGGTATCTTGTTTTCATTCTAAAATGAAGTTAAATTAGAAATTTAATATACTAGTGATAAAAAAGGAGAATTCTAGTATGAATATCTAGAAAGCAGTCCTTTTGAGGTACTTACAGGATTATATCAGTTTCTAAGAGAAAAAAAGGCAGAAACCTACTCTTTCAAAATAATTCAAATAAGAGACAATCTATAAAGAGCAAGCAGCTCTGGAATTTTTTTGTTTCATTTCTCATTTTACTCAATTTTTTGGAAACAAAATTTACAATAAAATGCATCATTTTAAGTGTGCATATGACAAATTTATATAGCTCTGTAACCACCAACACAATTATGATAAAGAACATGTCCCTCACTCTAGAAAGTTCCCTGTGCCCCTTCCTAGCTAGTCCCCACCCCTCTACCCCTACTTCCGACAACCACTGATCTGCTTTCTGACACTGTAGAGTAGGCTTATCTTCTCTGGAGTTTTATACAAGTGGAATCATACAGTATTTTTCAGTGTGTGTCTGACTTTTGCTTAGTGTAATATTATTGAGATCCATCTGTATTGTGTGTATCAGTAGTTTATTCCTTTTTGTTGCCAAGTAGATTCATTTTATGACTGTACTACAATTTGTTTATCTATCGCCTATTTATAGACAGGGCTTCCTTGGTGAGTCAGCCATAAATAGCCCACCTATCAGTGCAGGAGACACGCGTTCAATTCCTGGGTCTGGGTCGGAAGATCCCCTGGAGAAGGAAATGACAACCCTCTCCAATATTCTTATCTGGGAAACACCATGGACGGAGGAGCCTGGCAGGCTACAGTCCATGGGATTGCAAAAGAGTCAGAAACAAACTTGACAAGTAAACCAAACAACTGATAGACACAAGTGCTTCAGTTTTGGTTCAGAGCTATGTAAAGCTGCTATGAATATTCATGTTTGTGTGGAACATAAATTTTCATTGCTCTTGGGTAAATGCAAAAGCAGGGCATTTTTGCTTTGTTTTTTTGTAATTTCATTTTTTTTTTTAAGTTCTTGCTGTGTTCCCCATGCATTCTAAGCATGGGCCAGGAAATATGTTATGCAAATGCTTTGTTGTTCTTGCTTTTTAATTTGCACTACAGTTTTTTCCTCCCGCTTTACAAGCCTTGAGAGTTGGACTGTTCAGTGCCTGCTTCTGTCCTCTCCCTTAGATCTTGGATTTCGGACTGGCTCGACATACAGATGATGAAATGACAGGCTATGTGGCCACCAGGTGGTACAGGGCCCCTGAGATCATGCTGAACTGGATGCATTACAACCAGACAGGTACTCCTTGAACTGCTTACTTAGGGCCTTATTAATACATGTTAGGTATATTTGGGGTTCCCAGAAGTGGGGACGGGGGAGTAGAAGGAAACATTCTTTTTCTTCCCTCAGGAAACATTTAAGTCTACAAAAAGAGGATATTTCAGTTGCTCAGAGAAAGTAGGGATTTTCAGACTGTGATTTAATTGGCTTTTTACTTATTTTGAACATGTTCTTTCATATTCATATTCTACCTGAAGACATTGGGTTCATAATATTAGCTCTCAATATTACTTGGGAGAATCCACCATTTCTACCAGCAAGAAACCTCTGCCCCTTTGTGAACGGCTTATTTCTCTTGCCGTAACTGTGTTTTGACTTAGCCCACCTGTGAAGCCCTTTAATTGTGGTGAAGGTTTTAGCTTATTTATTTCTGTAAAAATGTTGAGTATGAGTTGAACTTCAGATTCCTTAAATATTAATTAGAGTATTTCAGCCCTAGCTGTAGTTCCATTTGTAGCCAAGTTTGGTAAGAGTGACTTTGTATATACTTTTATTTCTCTTTAATTTTGCCAGTTGATATTTGGTCAGTGGGATGCATAATGGCCGAGCTGTTGACTGGAAGAACGTTGTTTCCTGGTACAGACCGTATCCTTTAAAAAGTTTTGGGTTCTTGTTTATTGTCTGTATTGTAGTGTCCGTGGAAGTGTATCGCTTTTACCTCTGGGAAGGACTTTCAGTTACTTGTTTCTGTCGTCCATTGTGAGATCTGCCCTGCTGCGGAGTATCTTGCCGTACCAAGAAAGAGGCTTCAGTTTACTTTTATGATTTGGAAAAATTCCTCATAATCTGGAAAACCTTTAAAATCTTTCATATGTCATCTATTTTGCAGCAGATTCCTTATTAATCTTCCCACAGCCATTCTGCGACTGAGTGTGTTGGTGAGAAGTTCTAGACCTCAATGACTGGTTAAGTCTGTTTGTACCAACACTCAGTGAGCACAAGATAACCATTTATAAATCAGGGATATCTTGCTTTTATGTTTGGTTTACATATTAAAAAGGCGGTATTTGGTCCTTGTAATGATATACTTGCTGACTTGTTATATTTGTTGCTTAAAAACAAACAAAAGCAAGAAGATAAGGTCACCCTGTCGTGTACCTTTGTCTCCCCTCCGCATGACTTTGTTTTTATCCCAGATTGAAACCAAACTTTAATTCACTTGCAGATTTATTGTCTAGTTCATAGTTTATCATGACCCCTTTATTTTAGTCTCTTTTCTATCTGCTGCATGCCCACTTCACAGTTTAGTAACAATATCATCAAAATGTGATTTGTCGTAACCCTCATCAGTTCCACTTGGGGAAGATGTTTAGGCAAGAAAGAATTTTTAAATTTAAATCTAGAATTAGATCTGAAGATTTTTGTAAAATTCGTTTGACTCGCTCTCCACCAGTTTGAGCATTTAGAGATGCTGCCGTTTCCTGTGTTCTATCACAATTAGAGACCTAAAAGCTGTTTTAGCATCTCACCTAAGCAAACAGACTGAGTTTATAAACCAGAGTGTCAGTTTACCGGCTTACAGTTGGTATCATACTTCTGGGGTGACTGTGATGTTCATTTCATCAATCCACATATTCTCACTATCTTCTGCTAGAATGTACTTTGCTAATGAACTGAAAAGCCTCTTTCCTCAGCTGTCCATTTCCCTCTGAATATTACTGGATTGATAGAGTATAATTTCCCTATATGGCTCACCTTATTCCTTCTCATCCCCGGATTCTAATTTTAACACCTAATGTTTCCCCTTTGTCCTTTGTTTCATTTGCCTTATACCTGTTTCTTAGAAATTTGACATTCACATTATAGTCTAAGCTAAAAGAATCAGGGACATTTTATGATTTTCATTTTCCTCTGTGTCCCATTCTTTACTCTGTCTTCCTGTGCATTCTGCTCTGATGTTCTTGTTCCTCCTGCCCCTTCCTTTCATTTCTGTATCTCTATCTACAGTCAGTCGCAGACACTCGTACCTACATAGACACACAAGGTGGTGGAGAGACACGGAGTGTAAAGCATGCTAGTTTAGAGCACGTGTTCTGGAATCAGACTTCCAGGATGGATATTACTTAGCTCTTTTACTTCCGGCCCTGACTTTGAGCAGGTTGTCTAACCTGTCTCTTGGTTTCCCTAACTGTAAAATACTGATAATAGTACATACCTCATGTGAGAATTCAGTGAGATGATCTGGAAGGGACTCAGAACAGGGCCTGCCAGTAGATGTTAGCCACCATCCTCATCAGTGATCTTTGGGAAGATTTTCTCCCTCCATTTTCCCACTTTATTGTCTACTGATAAATCATTAAAGGCTATTTTTTTTGTTTTATTTAAATTTTTTTAACAGTAAAGGATGGATCCCCTTGACAGGCTACTGGTATAAAGGTTTCAAAGCAGTTGTGTGTGCCTTTGGTTCTGTCTCAGTAACAAGTGCCTACTGATGGATTGACCCTTTTAAAATGCTAACTTTCAGCCTCTGTAAGAAGTGTTCCTTTTTATGCATACTTCTTTTCCCTCTATGAGCTTTAGGTAGAAAACCTAGCATTTAAGCTTTTTACTAGGAGATTCTCTTTTTAATACATGAGAATTCTTTTCAAAATTTTTATTTTAGTAATACACTGTTTCTTTTCTACTTGGCTCCTTTTCAGACAGATGTTCTCCTGGATCAGGAAACTCAAATTTGGAAGATTTGTATTTGTAATATACATAACTCCCTTCTTGTCAGTTGCTATCTGTGTGGATGTAGCTTTGATTGCCTGACAAGGGGAGAGGAAAGTGTTTTCTGTTGCTTTTTCAAGTCCCCAGTTGATTCTAGTGTGCATCCAGTGTTGAGTACAACTAGAGTTTAACCAAGTTGAATTTCAATTGTAATCTTTCAGATTGAAAGTTACATAGTAGTTCTTCCTTATTATTTTTTTTTTTTTAGGTACCAATGAGATAAAAGTTAAGAATCTAGAATTATCCACTTGGGGATCTAAAAGATGCTAAAAAAACATCTAGTCGGGCCCCCTGTTTTTATAGATGAGGAAGTTATAAGAACCCAGAAAAGATAGATAGAAATCTATCTGCCTCAGGTCTCCATTTCTTTCCAATATTCTATTTGATGCCTGTTCTCCTGATTTCTAAAACTCATTTTCTTAAAACCTTTGCAGAATGTGCTGGACCCACACATTCTTCTGTTGCTCAGAAAGGCACACAGCTACTGCTTATTTATGCTTTTAAAACGCAGCTGAATGCCAAGGTGTCCTCTGGAGTGTGCTCTTTACTTGAGTGCACAGTTTGCTCCCTGTTTTCCTCATTTATTATTCATCTTGCATTTGGAACTGGTGGTTTTAGCTTCTAGATAAGAACTATCAAATAGAACTTTCTGTGGTCTTACAAGTGGTTTATGTATGTACTGTTCAATATGGTGGTTGGTAGCTACCAGCCACATGTGGCTATAGAATACTTAAAATGTGGCCAGTGGAACTTAGAAGTTGAATTAAAAATATTTTTGCAGTCAAGTGTTTTCACATATAATTTGCCACTTTATTTTTTTATTGTGGTAAAATAAACAACATGAAATTTACCATCTTAATCCTTTTAAAGTATACAATCCAGCGGCACTAATTACATTCATAAAATTGTGCATCTACCACCACTGTCTATGTCCAAAACATTTTCATCACCCCAAACAGAAGCTGTACCCATTAAACAAAAACTTCCTAGTCCCTCTTACAGCCTCTCATTACCTCTCTTCTACTTTCTGTCTCTATGAATTTGTTTATTCTAAATATTTAATATTAAGTGGGCTCACACAATATTTGTGTTTTTGTGTCTGAATTATTTCACTTAGCATGTTTTCAGGGCTCATCCATATTGTAGCATGGATCAGAACGTCATTCTTTTTTATGACTGAATACTATTCCATTGTGTAGCTATACCATACTTTATTTATCCATTCATATGTTTATAGACACTTGGTAGTTTCCACCTTTTGGCTGTTGTGAATAGTGCTACAGTGAGCACTTAACAGACAGGTACCTCTCTGAGTTCCTCCTCTCGCTTCTGTTGGCTGTATATCTAGGAGTGGAATTGTTGGGTCATGAGGTTACTCTCTGTGTAACTTTTTGAGGAGCAGAGCAGTCCTTGTTCCTCACAGCAGTTTCACCATTTTACATGCCCACCAGTGATGTATGGGCAATTTCTCCATATCTTCACCAACAGTTGTTTCTTCCTTCCATCCCGCTTTTTAAAATTATAGCCATCCTAGAGATACCAAGTGGAATCTCTTTGTGGTTTTAATTTTCATTTCCTTAATGACTAATGATGTTGAGTATCTTTTCCTTTGTTTACTGTTGGTATGTCTTTGGAAAAGTATTTGTTTGAGACCTTTACCCACCTTTTAATTGGGTTGTCTTTTTGTTGTTGAGTTTTAGGAGTTTTTAATATATTCTATATATTAAGCCTTCACCAGATATGTGATACGCAAATATTTTCTCCCATTTTGTGGGCTGCCTATTCATTTTTTTAAATAATATCGTTTGATGTACGAAAGTTTTTTTTTTTTTATGAAGTTCCAACATATTTTTTCTTTTGTGTTCATGTTTTTGGTGTCATTTCTAAGAGTGTATTACCAAATTCAAGGTTGTGAAGATTTACTGCATTTTCTACTAAGAATTTTATGTGTGTATTTCCTATACTTAGGTTTCTAATTCATTTTGAGTTAATTTTTGTATGTGATGTGAGGTTGGGGTCCAGCTTTATACTTTTGCATGTGGACATTCAGTTGTCCCAGGACCATTTTTTGAAAATTATTTTTTTCTTCCATTGAATAGGAAGAAATAGGTTTGGCACCCTTGTCAAAGATCAATTCTATTCCATTGGTCCATGTATCTACCCTTTTAGCAGTACCACACTGCTTTGATTATGGTAGCTTTATAGTAAGTCAGTCAATCAGTCCTTCAACTTTGTTCTCATTTTCAAGATTGTTTTTTTTTGGGGGGGGGGCACTTTGGCTCCCTTATAATTTTATATGAATTTGAGGGTAGGTTTTAAACATGTCTACAAAGAAGGCTGAATTTTATTTATATGTTATTTTTGGCTGTGCTAGGTCTTTGTTGCTGCACTGGCTTTTCTCTAGTTGCTGAAAGCGGGGGCTTCCCCTTGTGGGGGCTTCTCATTGCCGAGCCTGGCTCTGGGGCACGCAGGCTTCAGTAGTCGCTGCACATGGGCCTCGAGGTGGTGGCTCCCGGCGGTAGAGCACAGGCTTACCAGTTGCGGCATGTTTCTTTCAGTGATGCTTTATAATTCTCAGTGGGCAAGTTTGTTACCTCCTTAGTTAAATTTATTCCTAGGTATTTTCCTAGCATCTGTGAGATGCTATTTTAAATGGAATTGCTTTCTTAATTTTCTTTCTGATTTGTTCATTGTTGGTGTATAAAAACACAACTGATTTTTAGTTGTTGATGATGTACCCTGCAACTTTGCACAGTTGAAAGCTGAGAACTCTGATAGCTTTCTTGTGGATTCTTTGGTTTTTCTACATGTAAGATCATGTCATCTGCAAATAGAGAGTTTTACTTCTTCGTTTCCAGTTTAGATGCTTTTGTTTC